ATACAGCACATACAGCGATGTATGTTGCCGTCAATTATACGGCAGTTATATCAATTTATATTAATTTTTTGAATCCATTGCACTGTTGATGTTCTGGATAAGGGGCGAAGATTAAAAGCTTCGATTATATATCATGATTGAGTGGAGCCGAATTTCTGGACCGAAACTTTAGTATGTCTAGAACACTCTTAGGCATAAAAATGCAACTCGCCATAACCTTCTCAGAAACCTTCCATGATATTAGTCCTATCAGAAGATCTTTGCTGCACAGCAGTATTGACTGCCATACGGACTCATAAATTCTCAGTATGAAGTCACGTTTTGAGATCTGTGTAACTGGGAAAGAGGACCATACTCCTTATAAGCGTCCTTTGATTTTTCGATCCTGCAATCTCTATTTCAAGTTTATTTGCTCCGATGAGCGTTACACAGATGATGACATGACGCGTGTGCACGATGATGGTGTATATAATTTTGTTTTGCATTTTATGAAGCTAAGTCCATATCAAATAAAAATTATCATGTTGTAAGTATTTATACAGCAACTAATAAAGTATGGAGAAGAAACTACTTTCTTACTTTGTTTTTTCGATAGCACTGTGCATCAGCATAACTTTTCTCTACGGTAATACGAAAGAGATTCCGTACGAGATGACAATGAAACATTTATTTAATATCTTAATGTATGTTTAACGTCGAACAGGAACAGTTAGATGTTTTACAATACATATGATTTTCAACAGAATGTTATATAGTCATTGGCCGAGAGTTCTTTTCATACTGTCCTTTCACATCACCATGAAGGAGTGGAGTGTCGTAAGTCCCACAATTCCTACATTTAATCACAACTAGAATTGAATGTTTTCGCCTTGTTTGTGATTCATGATGTTCATCCCTGCATACCAGCAATATCCAGCATCAAGTTATGTTTTGAGAGTTGTATAACTTTTAAAGGGAATTATACCAGTAATACATGTCCCCCATTATAAAACACATGAAAATCCTCCGTGATGTTAATTAAATGACGTTTAAATCAACATTATATTGAATTTGGTATTATAGTGGGGGACATGTGCTACTCATTATTCTAATTTTAGCCTTATTAAAATACAATCAAAAACTCTAAAATTTGACACTAAATTTTAATTCATTTTAATATAAAAACAATTTTAAAAGATTGAAATATTTATAAAAACAGGGTAGTTTTTAAATGTTTTTTACACCCCAAATTATCAAAAAATAAAAATATCAAATGACAATTGACACAAAATTTTAATTCATTATAATATAAAAAAATTAAAAAAGATAAAATATTTATAGAAACAGTGTAATATTTAAATTAAACAATTTTATGCTTCAAAAAATCAAAAATATAAAATAACACTAAAATCTGTAAAATAATATATATTTTGTACAGAATTCTGATACCAAAAAAATGTAAAATAACTTATATTTCTGAATAAAATCGTGTATCCTATAGTGTGGGGAGACATGTACAACTTATACTCCTCTCTTTTGTCCGATCTTGCAACCTCTCTTTTAGACCTTCCTGTGCCGATGAGCCCTACGCAGGGTGATGCATGTGTACCATGACGTTGTATCAAGCTATGTCCATATCAGATTTCAGTAAAATTTGCCACTAACTTTGCAGAGACATTGGGTTATTTTAAAGCAGGAAACATGAAAAATGATCAATGCCCTCGCCGGAACTCGAACCATGGACCTCTCGAATACGCTTCCAGCGGGCTGACCACTACACCACGAAGGCATGCTAAGAAGGCGGCAGAAATACCTTATAACTTCTAGAGATAAATCACGGGGTGTTCAAAACCAAGATGTCAAAACTAAGGACCTGGTTTTAAAAAATTAGTAGTTCGCTTGAAAGGGCCATTGTTAAACTTTAAAAATCTATTATCTGAGGAGATCGTATTTTCACTCAGTTATGGCATATAATCGAATCCTCCTGTTATAATCTAAAGCATAAATAAAATAACTTACACTGCAATTACTTAATTACTGCTGCAGGAAACAGGGAGGTTCCCTCTTTTTTTTTTTTTTTTTTTTTTTTTTTTTTTTTTCTCGTTTTGATTAGAATTTCATCCGGAACTATTTTCTTTCCTCGAATGTGATCTGAGCATAAAGAAGAATATTACACTTGAACGAAAAGCTTAAAAAAACGCAGTAAACTGCGTTTTTTTTTAATAAAACCGCATGTTCCTTTTAAAAAAATATCTTATGAGTTTTTTATTATTTTTAATATTTTTTCCCAGGACGTAACTCACACTGCTTGTTAATGGTGGTTGAGCTGCCTGTTTTCAAACTTCTTCAGGCATTTTAAAAGATTGAAGTATTATTTAATTAGCAAAATAATAATAATAATCAGCATAACAATAAAATTCTGGATTTTCCGTAAGTCATTATGGAGGAATTTTTTTTTTCTTCTTGTTATCAGATCTTTACGCTTATTATCCTGCCAAGCTCGGAGGAAAAGTTCAACTATTGAAACAAAAAATCACTGAAGAGAGATTATTGTGGGATAAACCCACAGTAGGAAAAAATACTTGCCGAATGCATTGAAGCTTGAAATGGCAAAGCAGCATTTTTTTATTTCATTTCATTCAAAAATTTGAATATAGCCAAACATATTAATTACTTGGTAATTTTTTGATGGTATCATTATTAGAAAAACGTAAAGAAATAGGGAATGCGTTTATAAAAATAATAAGTTTATAAAAATTCAACAAAAATGATGAAGAGAAATAAATAACAAGGAAAAAAGATTAATATTATTAAATGACTGAACACTTCTAAAATTCTCTTAATGCGTTCATCATGTAACTCATAATTAATAATTATCATCCAATTGGAATTCTTTTGTGATCCTCTACAAGAATTATAAAACATAACTTCAGAATTAAGAATTTTGAAATTCTTTTACATTCTATTATTGTTTAACATAAGAGCTGTTAATTAGGAAAAATTTTGAGCCAGAATTAAAGGGGAGCAATGGAATGATTATTTCAAAATGAGAACTTGAACCTTAGATTAAAAATGATTTCAGAGAAGAGCTCTGCTATTCATTTCGAAGAAATTTTATTCTAGGCCCACTCTGTCAAAAAACAAAATCATTCTGCTTCATTTTGTCTTGAATACTTCATTGGTATGTAAGAAATTAAAATAATTAAATGATAATAAAGGGAACAAAAGTTGTAATGTCATCTGTCGAACCCAATAGAAAAGAAAATATTAAAACTTTAATTTAAAGGTGTTAAACATTTCTTGCGCTTTTACGGATTCGTGGATTTGGAGCTATTGACGACAACATTTGATAATGAATGAAAACACAATTTATTGGCCAGTATTACTCAGGAAAACTCCAAAAACACATTTACAGTCGTCAAAAAACTACGACAAACACGCTGAAACAATCGGCAACACACCCTTCAGGCTATCAGGCTATAACGATGAAGACAGCTTAACGGCAAAGCCCTAGAGTACAGCTCCCGACTCGTTTCAGTTATTCTCGGAACTCAACGTACTCTCGAAACTCACTACGCAACAACTCGGGGTGCACTCGACGATAGCCTCAACGACGCACACTCTCGATGCATCAGCTCGCAATACTCTCGACACTAGACTAACAATACTCGAGGACTAGAATGCTACTCTACGATATAGCTTTTTGGCCTACCTTTGAAAATATTCTGTGCCAAACTTTAAGAATTCGTTCTAGAATGTTCTCCATCCGTCTATGGCATATCGCCAATTTTATCACCAAATGGGCGATTTCGCACCAAATATGGCAATCCTAAACCCGCCTTGAGAGGAAGCTATCTTACTGCTGCTGGGCATTTCGTAACACATTTAATGAAAAAAGATTGCAATTAATATGTTCATCTGTACTGGACAGGTTTGAATAATTATGTGCACTTGAGTGAATCTGTGATTCATTCACTGAAGTTTTGCATGTGAAGAAATTATAAATCAATAAAGAATCTCATTTATCTTGAATATTTAAAAACTTTGTCTCATAATTTTAATTCTTTCGTTTGGGTTTTATCTAAGAGGTTGAGTTATTGCATCTTTACCTTATTATTATTTTTTCTACAAAACGCCTCAAACAAAATCTCTTTGTGTTTTTTATTGCTTACAGTTCAAGGGGTAGTCGGTATAGATAAACAAAAAGTATTATCCCTAGAGGGACATTTTTGTTGCAAGTCTCGTGCAATGAAATAAATGCACAGCTATAACTTGAATAATTGATAATATTTTTTTCTTAATAATTAAATAAGTGACCGAGTCTCTATGTGATGAGAAATTACTACGAAATAATATCACAGCAATTTTATTATTTGGCTTTAAAATTTTTATTTACACAATAATATAATATTTAATATAAACAGACTAATTTTAAAAGATTAAGCATGTTTCGCTTAAATTTTTTTTTCGGTTTAAACAAATATCTGCATACTAAGTTCAGATTGTAATTTTCTTTTAAACCTAAGATTTAAAAAAAAAAACTTTTAAGACCTTTTTTTTTTTAGAATTTAATGATTAAATCCTTTTTTATGTAAAAATGAGACATCTTTCGCTAACTCAGCATAGTAAGTTTTGCTCTTTGATTACAAAATCACTCTAAAAACTCATAACACATTTTTATTGTATAATAAATACCAATAAAATGTTGAGTTTTATTCATTCTGTTTTCGTTCCTCTTGCGTGGTTGATAAACGAAACTCAAATAACCTGAGCTATAATGAGTATAAAGCAAAGCCAGTTCTTTAGAATTTAATTACCCTTTGCTTAGAAAGATTCATTATTAGTCACTTCAAGTTATTCAGTCGCATGCGTTTTAGGCGATAATAAACTGACTTCATTTTTCAATATCATAAGCACCAGTGTGAATGTGTTTAGTTCAACTTGAATGTAGGCTTAGAATCTTATTTAGTTTTACTCCCTTAATCATATGCACCCTTTTAATTAATATATTTTCTTTCCAGGGGGAGTCAAGAAGAGGGATTACACAGCAGCACAACTTGTCAATTTGCTTAAGGGTTTAGCAAAACTCCGGAGGCAAAGGCAGATCCGCATCACAGGAAAGGGACTCAGGTTTGGGATCAGTCGCAAATGAAGCTATGTATTTGACAGCAGATGTTCTAAAAACAAAGCATTTTCAAGAACATTCATGTAATCATATGTCATGTGTTAATTATTAATAACATGTGTGTGAATAACCGTTTGGTTTACATGTGTAATAACATGTGTGTGAATAATCTTTTGTTGAGTAATATCTCATTCCAAATTTCCTCCTTCGAGTTTCTAAGTGGGCGACAATGAATATATAAATACTACATAAGATAAAAAATTTTAACTTGCGTTGCGTTTTTTACTTAATGTTGCCAAGTTAACGCGAAGGGAAAGAATATATTTCCTAAATTAATAATTCAACTAAAAATTATTAATTTGCTTTCAAATTTTAAGTTTTCATAAATATATAATAAAACTTTTCTACTAATGGAGGTAATTTATAATTCAAAATATATTTAGAAGTCTTAAAAATTATTCTGCTCCAAGAGTAGCTGATAAATACAGCTACCTTCAAAAACGTCTTAATTATTCTTTGGCAGTAAGCTCATATAATGCAAAGTGTTTCAAAAGGACTTAGCCAACTATGTACAACAACATTAAATAAAAACGTTTTCAATGCATTGTAACATTGAAATACCCAAAATTAAGTTCAGTCTGATTCTCTCCAATAATGTTCTAGACCAGTGTTTTTTAACCTTTCTAGCGAGTCGCACCCCATTGAATCTGAAAATACATCTCCGCACCCCATTGAAAAATGTGTTTTAATTTTTTTAGTCTAGAAAAATACATTTTGTTGCGAAACTTATTGTTTATTGAAAAACATTGTACATTTTATATATAAATAGAAAACAATATTATTTTTAATTAATGACTAGTCTGTTGTTGTTTGTTCATTATTATGCTGGCGAAGCGAGGTTCCTTTTTTGAAAGACATACGCGTAAGTCATCGCTTGCATTTAAGCGATTTCTCGCTTTAGTTTTTATATGCAAAAGCGAAGAAATTCCCATTTCGCACAAGTAGGTGGTAGCAAAGGGTAAGAGTAACTGCAGTGCCCTTTCGCCATACTTCTAGGATAACGTTGTAACTGTGAACACCATAATTGCTGCAATTCTAATTGTTCGAATTCCATTTGAACATGTCCACTTGCTTGCATTTCACTAAGTTGATCTTTTTTCAGATCACTATCATCCATCAAATTTAAGTCAAAAAGAAATGGATCCAGTATTCATCCATCTCTGAGTTTTTGGTAATATTTCCAATAGAAAATGTTGCGTGCGTACGGGTTCGTTATGAAATGAATGCACAAGTCCGATGAAAAACGAACAAAATTTATTATTATCACAACAAAATGCTTACATTTTCTCTCAAATTATCATGCAGTATTCACAATATCTCACAGTAGTTATCTTTTAACTACTCAAATGTACAATAGAACGTAATTCAAAACAGCTAAAGAACGCTAATCCGCGAATTCGCTATAATCAACAACGGCAGTTTTCTAAACAACAACAAACTAAGCAACTACTACAAACTGAGATGTTTTCCTCCTTTTATAAGCTTTTAAAATCACGCGCTAGAATTTTCCAGTACTTTCTCGAAATCAAAAAGAGATATTTATTTATTTAACGCACGCGCTCTTGTATTTTTAATTTTTCCGGCTTAGCTTTCTTTTAATATTCGTCACGCGCTGCACTGCGCGAGAAACAAAACCATTTAATTTATAATTGAACTAACATTAGCTTTTTAAATACCAAATTCGTAACAACACTGCCCCCTTCCCAAGGACTGCACGTCCCGGGCAGTACGAATCCCTGGACAGGAAGCTAAACTTACAACTGTGGCATAAATGCAACTGAGGCATAAGCATTACATTACAATACAACAATATAAACAATAAATGCAATAACATAAAAAACAAATCAAATGCTATCAAACTAATACAAACAAATACAAATACAACAATACTAAATGCAATCAAATCAATACAACTCAAATACATCAAATACACATTTATAAACAAAAAGGACCATGGTCTGATACTATTTACAATTATTTACATTACGTACTATGGCCATAGTAATGAGCTAACCTGTCGTAATGAACGACTTTAGGTTTAGAGTTCGAAGACTTACGAATCCGAACCACGACGTCATTCAGCCTTTTTAGGACTGTGTACGGGCCATCCCAAGGTGACTGTAATTTCGGACAAAGTCCTTTCCGTCGAGTCGGATTCCACAACCACACCTTGTCTCCTTCGTGGAATGATGTTCAGTAGCTCTTGTGTCGTAGCGGGTCCTTCATCTTCTCCGTCGCCAAGTTGACTCGCTCTCGTGCAAAGTTGTGCATCACTTCAAACCGGGCCTGGAGATCTTGAATATATTCCTCAGACGATGAAGGAGCAATCCGGAGGGCGGCCAAACAATAGATCACAAGGCAGACGAAGGTCACGACCGAAGAGCATCTGTGATGAGAATAGCCGGTAGTCTCGTGACAGCACTGCGGCGGTAAGCCAAGCAAGTAAAAAGAGTGGTAATTTCTTGTCCCAGTCCTGTTGGTTTCTGGAAACCACTAATGAGAGGTTATTAAGGATGGTTCGATTGAACCTCTCTACCATGCCGTCCGACTGGGGATGCAATGGCGTCGTTTGAGTTTTGTCAATGCCGAGTAGTTTGCATAGTTCTTTGATTACTGCCGATTACTAGGCAAAATTCCTTCCCTGATCGGAATGTAACTGAAGAGGCACTCCGAACCTGGAAATCCAGTGCTGTATCATTACCTCAGCTTACTGTGAACAGCCTCTTGATCAGGAATAGGATAAGCTTCAGGCCACTTGGTGAAGTAATCAATGACAACGAGTATGTATTTTTTGCCATCAGCAGTTCGTGGCAGAGGTCCCAGGATGTCAAAGGCGATACGTTCAAACGGCGCCCCTACGTTGTAACGTTGCAGCTTGCCTCGGCTGCGTCTCCTCGGTCCTTTCCGACCTGCACAGGCATCGCAAGATCGGCACCACTTTTGCACGTCATCCTTTGCATTATTCCAGTAAAAGCGCTCACGAACTCTCTGCAAGGTCTTCATTATTCCAAAGTGACCTCCAGTAGGGGTGCTATGTAACTCTTTAGGACATCAGGAATGCGGGATCTTGGAAGTATAAGTTGCCATCGGAACGTCTTCCCATCATTCCGATTCGAATTTCCGGTATAAGACGCCGTTTCGAATGTGAAGTGAATCCCAGAGTGCCCAATATTGTTTGGTTGTAGGACTACAGATAGAAATGTCCTGCCAGGTAGGTTTTCTGTTTGATGACTCCATTAAATCAATTATGGGTTTAATGTCGCGGTCTTCCAGCTGGTCTTTCCTGACTTCATCATCACTCCACGGGTTCTCGATCAGCCGATGTGATGTTGTAATTTGTCTTGCGACCGGAGTCAGCAGCTCGTATTTCGCTTCCACCTGGAACAATATCGGCAGCTTTCTTGGCAAGGTCTTCTAGACAGGGCGTCGGCGTTTCCGTGTGATGATCCTTCTTAGGATGGATAGTCATGTCTTCAGATCCTGAAAGCAGTTTGTTGTTTTTCAAGTCTAAGGAAAAATTGTATTTCTTAAAAAGTCCAATCCGAGTATGCCTGGATCGGTAATATCCGCCACATATGCCGTCTGATGTAGGCGGCACTTCCAAATGTGATTTTCACGTTTAAATCCCAGCTATGTCGATCTTATCACCATACGCAGTCTGAAGGGTAACAGGATGGTCCAAAAGTTTATCTTTAAACTGTTCAATAAGTCTTTCCTATGTCATTAGCTCGCAATGATCCTATCGCAAGAACTCCTCGATTTTATTAAAGGACATTCCGTTACTGTTGCCACTCCTGTATATTTAAGCGCTTTAAAACAAGGTTTTCATTATCTGCAACTCCGTCCTCGATATGGTCCTGATTTTTTCTACTGCGTCGTTCTGGGAAATGGTTCTTATTTTCCGTACCTCTCGGGTGTTTTGCAGTTTCTTCGGTGGTGGCCTTCAACTCCCAGTTCCAGCCTTAGAACTAGTTTTTTTCACTTCTGTTCCGTCTCAAGCCACTGAACTTGTCTGTAAACATCATCTTTATATCCGTACCCTGGGCGTTCTGCAAATTCCGTCTTAGGTTACCTTCATCACATCTCCAACACCTTGGAGCCACTTTCTTCTCGCTCCTACTTCGATCAAGCTTCGACTTGTCTGGCTAATCATCTAAACGAGCCATCATTACACTGCTCATGACTCGCACAGCTCAACTGTAGTGATCCCTATTAGTTGCTTCCTGGGCTGCCTCGACTTCATGGCGTACCAGAGCGCTTTTCAATCTTTTACATCCGCCATCGCAGTGGCTTTCTGTATTCGGCCCGGATGCCATCGTGAAATATTGCAGGGACAGATTTCCCTTTTTCTGTCGGCACTCGAAAGGCGTGATGTGACAGCCTTCAATCCGTGGCGAGCTCCTGAACGTTCGGTGAGCTTCTGTTGACGAATTTTTAATTGGAGCCTGCTGTATCTTTTAAAAACTTTTCTTGCCGAGCGGCTCTCCAAGCGCCGGATGAGCTTCCAAATCTAGCCTTGATTTCGGTAGCTTCTGCATCTCGTATCCGCTGCTCTTCTCTCAGAGATGGCGAGAATGAAGGCTACTGGGAATCCCATCCATTCCGCACCGCAACGATAGAAAATTGTGTCCTATACACCTGCCAGGAAGTCTCCCATCATATTAATAGTTTTCAGACGGAACGAGCAGGCCATCGATAAATTTGAACCTCAGAATTGTTTCCTACCGTCGCTATGCACTTTCTTAGCTTCAACTTTTCTTTAGCGACGCATCAGAAACCCTATCATCAATTGTTGTTCGACGGCAGACACTCTCTCTTCTATATGTTCTTTACAAAGAAATTCTTCTCTACTTGTTTCTTTTACTCGAAAAACTCTTCTCTATTTGTCCAACTTGTTTCAAACCGCGTCTATTCTTCCTTCCATAGCCTCAATTTATTTTATATTACGCCGGTATTTCTCTTTTCACTTTGTCCGACCTGCTTTCATCTCTATTTTAGAGATTTCATCTTTCCTTACGTATTCCGGCCCAACTTCATGTCCTGTGCCGTTTTCATTTTCTTCCTTGGGTTTCTGGCCCATTTTCATTTCTTCTTTAACCGGAACCTTGACCATCATTTCCATTTTTCTTTATTTCTTCTTTAAAGATGTTTGGGGCCAGCCCATCTTTTCTGGAAGCAGCAAAAGCGTAATGAGCTTCTCATTGTTCTGCTC